TATCAGAAGGAGAACTACATAGCCATTAATCCATTCATGTATTATGTGTCAATGTCCAGCTGAAATTTTCTGCCTTTGCTTTTCTCTGTAAATCATGTTGTAGAAACATAATGTAGTACAAAAATGCCTCTGATAATTATGTGCTTTTCCCCATTGATTTGATTTGACATAACTATGTTTATATACATCTAAATATAATATGTAAAACATTTACAGCAACACGAGCATCTTAATTTTTCCAAAATTGAGAAGGTGAAAAAGGGGCTTCAGTGCAATATAAACAATGGACATAAGCTTCAAATTCCTATACACAGAAGGCATAGAAATGTGTATACATTGCAAGTCATTAGTTTAAGCCCACCAAATGTTTCCTGAGACAATTACCTTCACTGCTATAAAATTTGCTTTGCATAGTCCTCTGGAGCGTTACTAATTGCTTTTCTTAACCTCCAGAGATTAAAGGATTTTGAAATGAACATATAGACAAGTGGTGACTTCAATTTCAAATCTAAGCTTTATTAAGGCAAGCCCTGTTTTATTAAATGGGGTCATTAGGAGAATGTTTCATGTTGGAAATAGCCAATCCTAATCTCCTCATCTTCCTCCAGTCTTCAGAAATTGCACTTTGTCTGTATCTTAAAAATGAGATGCCTCATGAAATCATTTCCATTTGGCATCAGCTCTATGTCTCATCTTCAAGAGTACACAGACCCATGTTGGCACTTGTTTCTCAAATCCTTTTCCACTAGGGGGTATGATAGGCTGTGCCTGCATCTCTGAGCCAACACGCGGTGTGATCCTGCAGCGCTGGAGTACGCGCACACGAGGGGGAGGAGCAGGCGTGCAAAGCTTGCTACATAATTTATGGAGATTTAAATCCTGTCATTCATAAATATAATTATAACCTACGGCTTGAAAGTGATATGGACCTTGCCATATTGATCATGCTCCAGCTCTGTTTATTCAGATCATTCATTTGTTGACAGGGAAAATATGAGAAGAATGCTGTTAGTCGTAAAACAATTAACAAAAGGAAATACTTCTATTTTACACAAAGAATATTCTTTGTTTCTGTGTGTGCTGTGCACTCTCCCACCTTCAGATGGGAAATATAAACCCAAGGGGAGGGGATATTATTAAATCAGCAATCAACCTTCAAGTCATTTTGGTATAAACACTGTAATTATTTCATCTCTAGTAAACAGAATAAAAGACAACAGCACATAAGGGTGACAATTTGCAATATGCTTAGAATGTCTTTGTTAAAAAAACCCTTATTATGACTGAAGGCAACATTATTGTAAGTAAAGAAAAAAAGGTAAAAGTTGTGACAGCCAACAGGGGGGTAATTAGTTGGTAAAGTTCAAATAATAAATTTAGCAGGTCATTGCAACAGACATTACATTTTGTGTGAGGAGAAGTCACTCTTTATTACCTTTCAACTGCTTACTTTTATTAAAAATAATTGTAAGAAAATATAAGGAAAAATTGCTAAGTGCAATTATAATTAAGTCCAGATAGCTTCTAAAATTGACAATCTTCACTTAAGTGAGTATAAGCTCAGAAAAAAATACTACAGATTTACCTGGGGGTAATTGTAGTAGCATGCAGCTCAGGGGGAAGGATAGACAGAAACTCCTGTCTAACATTCTTAACCTCAGTTGCAGCAGATGCCAGATGTGGGTGAGGTTTCAGCCTGGTCAATGTGGTTTCTGTGTGACTGTTTTCTCCTGCCCAGCTGGGTGAGTGCTGGCTGGGGTAAGGTACCAGCAGGAGAGATGCCTCTGCTCCCCCAGCATCTCCCACATCTGTGGGAATGGTTTGCTTCCAATTCATCAGCTTATAAACAAGTGTGAGCACCTCAGTGAGCTCCTGTATTTAGGACATTTGGAAGACAATTGCCATTAATGTTAGCCAGGTTTCAGAGGGTCTGACACAGGAAAGCAGTCTCATTCACCCAACTCAAATATTCTATCAGAGTTGTATTTTATACATCTTGAAACCTTTTTTCAGGCTGGTTGACCTCTTGTTAAAAAGTATTTTAAAAATAATTTGCACTCAAATAATTACTGGTTTTGTTTAAATGTTCTCATCCAACACATAATGAACAGTGAGGAATTCCCTAAAGGGCATCTTTTGTTATTGAAATGTTTATTTATTGAGTGCTTTTGCCAGAAGCCCCCATGAGAAAAATCTCATTTTATGAGCTCCTGAAGCAGTCAGTTCCCAAAACATCAAGCAGAAATGCAATTTTGACCAAGTAATCTCAAGGTCTTTTGTTTGCTTTTAAATAAACAGAATGCCAATGTGCAAAAAATTGTGACAAAAGCAGCTTTGTTTTCTGTATTTTGCAAATATTCCTAGTGAAGCCATGCTGATGTGGTGCTCAGGTGATTTCTAACATAGAATAATTCAATTGCTACAGTAGAGGAAAACAGTGTCCCACAGAGCAACATATGAGTGGGTGTTTTAAATTATTCTGAGATATATTCTTTCTTGCAAAAGGATGGTCTTAACACAGTATCATCCCACTTGCATAAGGAATTCTTTTTTCCTTGCCCTGTTTTTTGTTCTTGTTTTCCCTGAGCAGTGAGGAGGAATGACAGTACTTGTGGCAACATTGATGTGGGTATGACTCTGATCTTCCCGTGTTCCTGGATTATCCAGGTGGAGTCAGTAGAGAATGGTGGGATGGTTGATGACAGGCTTCATTCCTTGGAAATCCCTGTCTCTCACTGCCTGGGCTGGGTCACTGAAATGATCCAGTTTTAATCTATGATTTTACTGATGCCAGGATGTGCAAGGCTGCTGGGAATGGGGCAGGACAAGTGGGAGGAAGTGGGGAGTGGCTGAGAGGTAAAAATAAAACTTCAGGTAAGGGAAGCAGGGCAGGAAACTTTTTGTCTTTCCTGATAGAGCCAAAGTATAACTATATTGTGGTTGAAATTTTGTGTTTGTTCTAGGTTCTTAGCTATAATGGACTATTCAGTGAAGATTTGGGGGGAATATCTGAAATTGGTTTTTCTTTCCCTCCTATCTTGGTGATGCAAGAGCTGCATAGTGGGGTGATGCTGCTTTTATTTAAAGCAGACTGCTAATTGCACTGTAGATATCTGAGCACCTGAGAGGAATCGCTTAGGTTGGCTGCAAAGAAAGAAGGACAGTGCAAGATTAGTTAGAGTCAGTGTTTGATAACCTAAAACAGGTGCATTTTATGGTTTATTATCTCAGGGTTAGTGAGAGAACAGTCTGGATTTTTGTAAAGCAGTTATCTCAAAAAAAAAGTACTTTGCAATCGTTGAGCGTTTTAATCTATAATATTAATATGATGTTGACAAATGTTTTATACTTGCCTGGCATAGTTAAAAGTGTTTCTTAACCATTACTGACCAGACTTTTGGAGTCCTTTAACAATAAAATCTGTTTTCTCTTTCTCCTTTCCCCCCAAGAGTACTTCAAGAAAAACGATTGATTAATGGCAGTCCCTGTTAACTCCAGAATAAAATGTGTGCAGTGCATGCTCTGCTAGTAAAAGATGAAAGGATATTTCTTATTCTTACTCCGATTCCCTTTGTAACCTCAAAGCAAAGTCTAATAGTTAAGGAAAGATTTTTTTCTGTGTGAAATAGAAAAAGTTTAAAGGTATTTCTGTCTAAGATATATGTGATGCAATTAGCACACTTCATTAAGTGCTCTCCATTCTATGATTTTAAGAGATGAACATGTTACTAAAAGAATAACTTAATACTTCATTTCAAGCCCTGCAACAAAATATCTTTCAAGTTATTTCTTTTATGTGGCAATCTTTCAGATTTCAGTCTCTGCTTAGCCATGGCCATAGGAAATCAAAAGCTGTTACATGTACAGTTCCAGCCCATGCACTTCACCTTTTAAGCAGGGTTGCTCTTCATAGAATAAATATAATTCTTTTCACTGATAATATGAGTGTAAAAAACCTTGGGAATTTGCATAATATGTATTATGTAAGTAAACTTCTATAAAACAGTGCCAATTTTTCTTTTTCTTCAGATCTTATGCTCTTCTCCTCCCTTATAATTGGTATAGTCTCTTGTTCCCCAGAAATTTTTCTTCAATAATACATTCACTATATTTTTATGTGTATTATTCTTATGTGTTTTGTAGATAAGTATTTAAGTATAGTTTTAAGGACATCACACTTGAAATGTCTTCTTTCCTTTCATCAGATGTACCTGTAGGATGTTTATTGGGATGGATGGAGAATGAATGCAACATTACTAATACAGATTTATTTTTCCTTGCACAATGATATTTTTTGGTGAAACCCGGAGTACATTGCCATTCTACATCTGGCTAATCAGTACCTTCTTCTGTAAATATCTTATAGATTTCAGTGCCATAAATGAACACCAGGCTACATGCAGAAAGGTCTTCACAGAGTCAAATAATTTCCTCTCAAAAATTGTTATCCCCTCTGTTGTTAAGTGATAAATATTCTGTGGTATTTTTCTGGTCAAAACCAGCTATTAGATCAGATATGCCCAGAATCTCTTCACACATATTCTTACAGCATATTATAAAGATAAATATTCTGAGTTTTCATATTGTCCCTCTGACTTGCAGGTGTGACAACAGCAACTGAGGTTGTGTTGATACTAGAAATATAAAATGTGAAAATACATGTAATCTTCTTTGGATGCTGAATTCTAGTGATGATCTATGCTGTACTTCACTGAATAGCAATTTCTGTGCCTCCATTTTGCCATCTTCATAATAAGAATAGTATTTACAGAAGTGTTCTGAAGTTTAGTTAATGTCATTGAAATTCTTTCAGACGGGCACAAAATACACACAGGAAACCACAAGAGGTATAAAAATGTATGCAAATGTAGCTAATGAAGCAAAAGGAAGAGGGCTAAATGGTGTCTTAATAGGTTCTCTTTAAAAACCTATTTTGATAAGGGATATTATGGCATGTCTCTTGATTATGAATCTTACATTTTTTTAATAATCTCTTTCAGTGTCCTGGGACCAGCTGTGACCTTCCGAGTGCACTCAAACCTCCAAAATATTTCAACTGCAGATGTTGCCAAAGAAGCAGGTAAGTCCTTGTCCTCCTTTCTCAAACTGTGACCACCCACATGCTTGTCTAGCAGTCACTACCACTGCAAACAGCATAGACACATCTTGTTCTCCCAGAAAGCTGACATTTAAAGGGGGAGAGAGTTGAGAGGTGAGTGGCACATGAGAAATTGAAGTTTAACATCTTTAAGTCCATTAAAACTGTTTGAGACTTCCTTGGTTGTCAAGAAAATTAAATAGAGGCTTGTTGTCAAATTCCAGTGTGGTGAAAAACTCTTCAGTGTTGTCAAAAGCTCATAAAAACACATTAGTCATTTGTAAAAGATGATCACTTTACTGATACTTTTTTTTCAGGGAACAAAAATGTTATGACACCTTAGCCTTATTTTCTGGAAGAAAAAATGGTAGAAATATGCCTTTTTTGTTGTGCTGTTTCAACTGTTTCAATGACAAGTTAATCTTGGAAGTAAAGGTTGCATTTCTAGAATTAAGCTGCTTCTGAGTAAGTGCCACTGTTCTAAGGACTCCTATTGGTTCCTTTTCTGCTTGGCTATTAACTGTATTATGGAGTTGTTGACTTCAAAAAACAGTTTTTGCAAGGTATCTGAATTGATGACTGGTTTGTTTCCAAATTACTCAATTGATAGGCTTTAAAAATCAGAAGTAAACGAGTTGCAATATTGCTTGAAAACAGAAACAAGAAAAGTTCATGTGATTAAGCACTGGGAGCTCCAATCTGTTCATTAACTTCTACTTTTGCTTCACCATGGATGAATTTAGTTAAAGAAATAACTGAATTTAGTTACAGAAATAATTCCTAGGCTAGAATTTTCCTTTGCAGAACCCTTTGCATTTGAGAAGGATCTTGTTAACTGTTGATTAAAGAGTAGCAAGGGTCAAAAAATCCTAGATGTGTACTGTCAGAACTCCAAATTTACAATAAACGCTAAATTATGTGACTCATGAATGGGTATGATACTTTTCCTGGGAAAAATGGTTTTTTTATAACAATGATCTTCCCTGTCTTATAAACTTGTTGAATCTCTCTGAAAGGATCAACTAATATGATGCTGTTGGTAGAGCCTGCATGGATTGCCAGAGGTTTTTGACAAGGTCTTCCCAGAAGTTTCTAAGGAATCTAATTGTTTCTTAGAATGTGGAATATGGAACAGAAAAATGGTGAACCACTAATTGGTTAGGAGGCAAGAAACAGAGATTAGGACAAAAGTTTTGGTTTTCTAAAAGGCTAAGATAGTGAAAAAAAAGGCGGAAAGATCTCTGCTCGGAGTGTAACATTCAACATAGTTGTAAGTGAATTAGAAAAAAGAGTGAGCAGGATGGTGAGAAATCCTGCTAATGCTGAATTATTCACAGAATGAAAGGTGAAAGTTGATCTTAGAAATGTATAATAAAGCTGAGTGAATGGACTCAAAATGGCAGATGAATTTCATTGTAAATTACTGTAAAAATTTCATATGGAAAAAAATAGCTTTGCATACAAGGTCTACATAGTAATGTAGTTAGTGTGGTCATAGGTAATTTGATAAAAATGACAGTTCAGTCTCCATTATCAGTTGAACAAGGAAAAGTGTTTTTAAGAATTATTTGGAATGGAATAGAAAACAGAATATCATATGTTCTTTCATAAATACGTCCTTTGCCTCTGTTTAATACCACAAATTTAGTTTAATACCACAAATAGTACTGCTTCTCATACCTCAAAGAAATTTGAAATTCTGGTTGAAATGGAAAGATTCAGGGAAAGGCAGAAGGCATGATTGTAAGTATGGAATATCTTCCATATAACCAGTGGTGCAATAAGAAAGGAGACTTTATTTTGGGAAAAAAAAAAAAAGAGTATGGTATGAGGAAGGTCTGTCAGCTCTAGAGTTGGAGTAAGAAAGGAGACTTTATTTTGGAAAAAAAAAAAAAAAAAGAGTATGGTATGAGGAAGGTCTGTCAGCTCTAGAGTTGCACAGTGAATATGGACAGGATGCTTTTGCAGTGCAAGAACAGATGAAACTGGCAGAAGGCAGGTCTAAAAGAAATCAGAATGCAGTTTATAGTTTTTCCAGTTGTGAATAATGAGGCTTACATGTTTTCAAACATTTACATGTAAGGAAATTAATGGAATTGACATCCACTGAAATTTAGCAAGGCTGTGGAAATGTTGTCAAGGCCACGAGGTTCCTGATATGCCTTGGCCTGATTTCTAACAAGCTGCTCTGAAACGTAAAAATGCTGTGACTCATTTATTTCAGCAAAAATCGAGATAAAACATTCTGGTTTTTCTTACCTCTGGAATCAAAGTAGCTGTTTTCAGCTTCCTTAACTGAAATGCTGATGAAGAAGTGGGGAGGTTCTGGGGACAAAATAATGCCACCCCAGAGAAAGGGCAACAAAGTGGTGAAGGATCTGGAACATAAACCCTGTGAAGAGTGGCTGAGGGAGCTGGAGGTATTTAACCTGGAGAAAAGGAGGCTCGGGGGAGACCTCATCACTCCCTACAACTGCCTGAAAGGAGGATGTAGCCAGGTGGGAGTCAGTCTCTTCTCCCAGACAACCAGCAACAGGACAAGGGGAAATGGCCTCAAGCTGTCCCAAAGGAGGTTCAGGTTGGATATTAGGAACGATGTCACTGACAGGGTGGTTAAGCACTGGAACAGGCTGTCCAGGGAAGAGATGGAGTCACCATCCCTGGAAGTGTTCAAAACCAGACGTGTCTCTTTGGGCCCTCAGTGGGTGGTTAAGGTTGGACTTGATGGTCTTGGAGGTCTTCTCCAAGCATAATGTTCTATGATTCTAAGAATTTCTGCAGTTCACCAATTTAAACTCATAGTTTATACAGTAATTTTACCTGCTCTTTATTACATTAATATCCCAAGCATTTTTTGACTTCCTTTTGCTTAGTGAATTAAAACCTTCAAGTTTTGATGGCTACAGAAAGAGGTTTATAGGAGTTTTACGTAAGCTTCTCTTGGTATTTCAGTGTAGCCACAGGATTGTCATAACTAAACCCTGTGTTTGCCCTTCACATAAAAAAAAAAAAAAGAAAAAAAAGAGCTCACAATTCTATCCATCCCTCAAATATATTAAATTTATTAAATTTAAAAAGTATCTTATTTTTCCTTTCTAACTCATGCAGTTGCAGTGCTTGTCAATGTGCTCACTAATCAGTTCATTTATTTTAAGCAAATGTCTTACTTCCAGATCTCTAAGCCAAAAAAAAATTATCTTAAAAAATCAACGGTGATATATACTTACATAAGAAGTTTTTTCAGGCTCTAGTTGTAATTATAAATTTTTTAAGTCAACAGTGTCTTGAAGAAAAGCATTCCAAGTATTTAATTTACCAAGAGAAGCCAAAGGAGAATAAATCAATGCATACTTCCAAGGTAGGCACAGGTAAATGCATAATTCCATGCTGTACTGCTATTAGGGAACTTGACATCCCTCCAGGAGCTGGGAAAGCAGATCTTGTTTACAGAAAATGAATAGACCAAATGGACAGAAGAATTTCACAGTCTGTCACATCCTTTGAAATGAAAACAATTTGGAAATTGAGGTGATCTGATGTCATAATAAATATAGGAATGTAAATTATTCAGACTTGCAAAAAGGAATCTATTTGTGCAGGTGTTATGTACATGCAAGTGCCACTGATAGCCGCAAGAACAGTTTCTGTGCTGCAGTTTGGTCTTATTATTCATGTAGCATATATTCTTGTAACCAAAATGGATACACTTCATATTTTCCTTGCACTGTTTAAGTCTTAAATATAGGGAACTATATTTAAAGTTTTCCTTCCTCCTCTGTGGAGTTTGAAAAATGTGCAGGTTAGAGAAGATATGGGACTATATAGCAACTATGTAGGGAGGTGAAGGATTTAAAATATCCACTAAAAGCTAGAGGTGTGGAAGTGTGATAATAAAAATGGTTGCCTCTCTTGTCTCGGAGTTTGAGATTTATTCTTGGTGCACAAATGACCTGTCTTGAAGTAAAATAAACTCTCTAAAATCCTTTAGAGACATTGTTGCTGATAAAACCTTTTTTTCTCAATAATTTACAGTTCCAATTCTGTGTAAATGTTTTGATTACTTTTGGTTGGTTGTTTTTGTTTTTTCAGTTTCTAGGGCTATATAATTATATGGGGAAGCTGACAACAGAATAATTTAAAATTGTGAATAGTTTGCTTTCTCACATTAACAATACCTTTATTTGTTCTAGAGTAGGACACCCAACATTTTGCCAGCTTCACACTCTTTGACATTCAAATGATAGAATATGTCTTTCATTAAGTAGCTGTCCTCTGGCCTATTTCTGTTTAATAAGTCAGATTCAGTGATGCAATGCAATTTAATCTCAATGTTTTGAAGAAATAAACTTTCTCAACACATAAGTTACCTGCTCTAGGAGTAATTACAGTTGGCACAACATCATTTAGACAAACAAATGTATATTTCTTTTCTCTTCAGTTTAAAGGTCAGGAGAAACCTAGCAGAGAACAATTATCAGTAAGATAACTGTACATAAAATTGTAATATATTTCATATAGAAGTGAGGAATGAAATTACTTTATGTGTAGTCCAGAATCCTACCATTTAGGCAAGGACAGTGATAATTAGAAAAGTGGAAACTTCCACTTTTCCAAGTTTCCAAGCAAAGAATTTTTGCATCAGGTGCCTGTAATGGTCATATATATTCTGAACACGGGAAAAAGAGATGTAGTAGAGACATTTTGGGCACAGATGCTCAGCACTGCTGAAATGCCTTTTAGTGTTCGAGTCATGCTTACATTTGTTTTGCATTGTATTGAAGTGCAACATTTTAGGTGTTCAGGTGAAGACTGAAAAGCAAAGGGCTGTGGGCACAGTGCAGGCATGGTAGTGACAGGGACAGACAGCACCATGTAAGGCTGTGCATAACCATATATTAGGGAATTAACAGGTCTTGTGTGCAGGTTCTTTGCCTAAGATACCTTGTGATACACACCAGTAAGGAAAGTCAGAAATTTCAATT